CTTATTTATAGGTTTGGAGTTGAAGAAAATAGGAGGGGAGAGGAGAAACTAGTTAGGGAAAAAGTTGGGCATCAATCCGTTAGAAGAGAAAAGAGCAGCATTCACGAAAATAGGCATATCTCTTTGCACACTTATAATTTAGATATGAGTCCACCACCATTGGAAAGTAGACTTCTGAGGCTTTAATTTAGACTCAAGAATGACCTAAAACCGAGTCCAGATGAAGGAGATATACCCGTTTGAAATCAGACCAGAAAGCAGATTTTTGTGGCCAGCTGGCCACTTGTGTAAAACACAAATATTTGTTGCCAGCTATCCCCCAAAAGCTCCATCTATTCCTATACAGACATTTCCGACCCAAGAGGCTGTTTTTCTATATATTCTTGGCCAACCCTCTTGGTTTTAGGTTACAAAAAATTCCAAGAGCCCCAAAACTTGAAATTCTCTCTCTATCTCTATCTTGCAACACACGCACCTTACCCAAACACTTCCTAAACCAATATTGGAGCTCTCATTGCTGAGATTATTGAGTCCAAATTTCAGCCTTGAGAGTGAGAACTTGTGAGTTCATTAAAAAAAGAGTTGCCTTACTTCAAGAGGTATAATTTTGAGCATCTTTACACTACTTGTTTTTTTATCTTTTCTTGCTGATTTTGAACTATTTTTGCACTACTGTTTTTATGGACTGAAACTTTTGGTTTAAAGCTACCAAAGGTGGAGGGGTTAACCACCCTTCTTTAAACCTTGTTCTCTAAGTTTTTACTCTTATGTTTTCCATTCTTTTCTCAACTCCTTTTGATTTTTTTACCACTGTTTTTCAGAGTTTTTCAGAGGCTAAAAATCATGTTTTGAAGTCCCAAAAATGAAGAGGGTTAGCCTCCCCTCCTTGTGCTTGTTTCCTAACTTAATTGCTCCATATTTTTAGCTTACTCTTTTAGCTGTTTTCCCTTTAATTCCAGCACTATTTTAGTGTAAATTAGGACTGACTGTTTTTAAGAGTTAGCTTCATTTATGCTTTGTATTGCATACTTGTAATGCAATGGTTTTCCTAGGTTTGGTGTTTTATGCATTATACACCAACCTATTTGAATTGATAGCATTTATTTCAAGCTTTTCATATTTGTGATCACTTCTAAAAAATTAATTTCATGAAAAATGAAATTTTCGAAATTGAAAGCCAATTGCAGAAAATATGTACCTTATAAGCATTTCAGAATTATGGACAAATTCAATTCAACTAATAATAAAACTCAAAAGAGAGAAATTTCCCTTTTTTGAAAGTACAAAAATTTCTCTGATATCAAACATGGACATTTCGGAAATTTTGAACTAAATATTACAAAAATCAAGGGCCAAAAAACACCTCCACTTTCGACCACCGCCACCTAAAACTCAACATTCGAGCGCCAATAACCAACCTCCACGAATTACCACTAATTTAGAAAGTTCACTATTTCAGGGGGGAAAAAATATCTCTATTTTTAAGTAGAAAGTTTTCAAATTCGAGTAAAAATTGCAAAATTGTTGGCCAATAAGAGCTTGTTTGGAAAGTTTGGACTTTCTTTTTTTTTTCAACTAAAATAATCACAAAAAAAAATAGGCATTTAATTTAATAAGACAAAAAATCACATTCAATCTATAATCATTACTTTATTTCTCTCACAAAAAGTTAAAAAAATAAATAAGTCATTCTCAAATGACACTTTTTAGCCCCAAGTTAAAATAGACAAAAAAATTAAAAAATCAAATAGTCAACCCACTTTTCAAACGAATCCTAAAAAACCTCTTCGACTAAACATATAATTTGTATATTAGTGGACAAATTTCAATTTAATAGTTAGATTTATATCTTCACCACTTGTAAGTATTGTTATGTGTAAAATGGATATATATATTAAATAATATTATATGTATCAATTAATATATTAATTAATTTATTAATTGATGAAGTAATATAATTAAAAAAAATTAATATTTATAATTTATATAATTAATTGGATCAATAATAATATTATAATCAATATCGATACACTAGTCGATAATAATGCCACCCATATATATTTACAGCAATAGAGATGGTTCTATTTAAAGAGTCGTGGAATCTTGAGCTTCACATACAGATTGCTTTATTTAAAGAACCGGGTAAGACGACTTGCATTAGGTGCTTGAATATACATACGATTTTATTTAGGCCTAATTTGGTTTATACTATATAAATCAAAAAGTCAAACAGTTATTTCAAAATTTAAAAAGATATCATTATTTATCAAAAAAAAAATTTTAAAAATCAATTTTCTTCCCAAAAAGTATTAATTTGAATTGATGTAAAGCAGCGGCTGTGCAGCAAAAATGAAATGATTCGGTGTGATTTTCACACACACCGTTGTTCGTCCCATGGGGGCCATTACGGGTCCCGTTTTGATAATCTGAACCATTCAATGTGTAGAAATTGTTGAGTACTATATGTCTGCAAAAAATCACATTGATCGGATATCGATAACTATATGATCAAATCAGTTATATACAACAAATGGATGGTGTTATAATTAATGATTGAAAAATAAATAAATCTGATCAGATAGTTATCGATATCCGATTAACGTGATTTTTTATAGGTACATAGTGTTCGACGAGTTACACACATTGAACGGTTCAGATTATTAAAATGGGACCCGTGATGACCCCCATGGGCCAAACAAAACAGTCCAATGCTTTGTACAAAAATTAACCAATAATTTCCAACTCCAATACACTCCAGCCGGTTGTACGGCTGGAGCCCACCCCTCTCTAATCATTTCTTACACACTTTTTTTATACAATTTTTTAATACACATTTTTTCATAAAAAGTCAAAAAGTTAACCCAAGCCTCCATATTTTTTTTTCTTTTTTAGTCCAAAAAGACAAAAAATGCACTTTTTTAGGACACCCCAAACCAGCCCTTAATTTTTAAATTTCCAAGTTAATGATTGTAATTAATAAACCAAATCAATAATTAATAAATAATTCAGAAAATTCAAAGCTAGTTGCAACAACTTGGGTAGCAATCTCATATTGGTCCATTTGGTAGAGCTGTAAAAAAGAGATTATAGATTATACCTTAACAGATTATGTCTTATAGTTGCGAACATAAGCTCTTAATCTGTTTAGTGCAGCTGTGGGATTATAAATTTAATCAGCAGAGTAGTGTTTGGTTAATAAGCTGTAAAATAGTTTTTTATTATATAATTGTCCTCTCTGCCCTTATATGATATAAAAATGATTATTTTGTCATTTTTTTCAGTTTTAATTTTTAAAAAAAAATCATTAATAAAAGTTAATATAATTAGTATTAATTAGTATCAATTAATATAAAAATTAATACATTTGATAAAAATGTAATGGAAGTACTATTGTTACAATTTTTTTTCATTATAAATTAATTAGTATCAATTAATGGCTTAATTAGTCTCAATTAATACTAAAATTATTAATTAGTATCAATTAATATTAATAATTAATTTTATTAGTATCAATTAATATTAACAATCAATTATTAATTAGTATCAATTAATAATTAATTCATTACAAAAGTACACAATATTAATTTATTAATAATTAATACCAATTAATATTGATTTTTTAATTAATATTGGTTTTTTTTCTTTTTTTTCAGAAATATACAATTTTTATTTTTTAATTAATATAAAAATATACAATATGAATTTATTAATAATTAATACCAATTAATATTTATTTTTTAATTAATATTGATTTTTTTCTTTTTCTTCAGAAATATACAATTTTTTCTTTTTTAATTAATATTAGGGGGATGCACCAATAAATCCCAAATTAATAACTTATGCACTGTTTAGTCCTAAAAGTTTTCTTATAGACTGAAAGGTCCCATTACAATGTTAATAACATCAGATACAATGTTAATAATATCAGAGTCATGTTACAAACATTGGATTTCAAACATCTAATGTTCATCAAATTTCAATAATGTTTGAAAATATAGGATGAAAAATATCTAATGTTCATCAGATTTCAATAAATTTTGAAATTATAGAATGAAACATCAGATCATTTACATCATTCACATCATGTTGATGTAAAAATGGGACTAAATGGAGCATAAGAAAACTTTTAGGACTAAATGGTTCAACGTTTCAAAAACTAGGACTTATGGGTAAATTTTCCTTAATATTAATATTTGGGTATTGACGAAGGCATTTAAGTAATTTTAGCCCCCCACACTAACTGCGCGCTTAAGTCGAAAATTTAAGCACTTCTTAACCAACTTTTGAGATAAGCTGAGAAATAGCTTAATTTAAGCTATAAGCTGGTTAACTTAAATTGCACCAAACACAATATTTTAGCTTAAATTAAGCTAAAAGTTAAAATAAGCAGCTTATAAGCCCTACCAAACAGGCCTATTGTCATTTAAAACTTGCCTCTTGCATTAATAAGGGATTATTTGGAGTGTCCTAAATAAGTGTACTTTTTATCTTTTTGGACTAAAAAATTGACAGAGACAAATGATATATACACAAAAGTAAAACAAAATTGTAAAGAAAGTATAATGTGTAATTGAGATTTATTTTAAGTGTTGTATAATTTATATTTAAAATAAATTTAAATTACACAATGTACTTTTTGTGTATTTTTCACTATTGTTTAGACTTTGTTTGGTATAACCTATATAAATACACTTATTTAAATAATTATTTTTATTTGAGTTATATCGTTTTTTTATTATCTCTTCGTAAAAAATCAAAAACTCCATAATAAAATAACGGATATGAGCCAATTGGATAACGTAAATAAAAAGAAAAAGAAAAAGAAAAAGAAAAAGAAGAGCGATATATTTAAGTTTAAAAAAATGACTTTTGTGCCATGTGAATGTAGATCGATAGAAAAGTTTAATACTTGCTAGTTGCTAAATTACGACTGCTGATAAATAGACATGCAGGACACAACAACCCCACACCCCTTATCCAAGAATAAGAGTAATATATCATCCCATACTGCTCCTTTTCTTCTATTGAGAGAAAAACATGTTGTCACTAGGAGTAGTTTTGAGCACTTTCGTGGTAGCATTGGTTACCATATTCATAACTCATTGGGTTCGCAAATGGAGGAATCCCAAATGCGAAAATGGTGTTCTTCCACCGGGTTCCATGGGTCTCCCTCTCATCGGAGAGACCACTCAGCTCCTTATTCCCAGCCGATCATTAGAACTCCATCCCTTCATTTCTAAGAGAGTCCAGAGGTAGTATACATAATTAAATTTGGAAAAAAAAGAAAAAAGGAAAGGGTTTTCAGAAACAGTTTGTAAACAAGTTTTATTTATTTCATTATTAAAGTGTAATTATTTGTTGTCTTTTGTTTTTCTGATTGTGTGTAGATATGGGCCGGTGTTTCGAACTAATATAGCGGGTAAACCGGTAGTACTAACAACCGATCCAAAATTCAATCATTACATCCTTACGGAAGAAGGGAAATCGATTGAACTATGGTACTTGGATACGTTCACAAGCATGTTGCCGATATATGCAGTGGGCAATGTTCAAAAGTACATAAGAAACACTACTTTGAGTCGGTTTGGCGTTGAGGGCATCAGAGTGAATTTGCTCTCTCAAATCGAACAAGTCATTCAGACAACTCTACGTCATTGGTCTACTAACCAAATTGTTGATGTCAAACATGACGCTGCAAGTGTACGGAAAAAAATAAAAATTCAAGCTCATTAATTTGATCTTTTGATTAATCAGCCTTAATTTATGGTGCTTAATTTCATTTATCTCTATTTGGTCATTACAGATGATTTTTGACTTCACATTGAAGCAGTTGATTAGCTATGATTGGGAAGAATCATCGGAGAAACCGCTAAGTAAGAGATTTTCTAGCTTATTACACGGTCTTTTGTGCCTTCCCTTAGACATTCCCGGTACTACATTCCACCAAACAGTGAAGGTAGTAGCTCAAAGAGAAATTATGACTTGGTTTTTGAAGAGATATATGTATATATTGAGAGATAGTTCCTAAGTTTTATATGTGTTTTTATCTTGTTCAATATTCAGGACCGAAAGGAGATGCTACGCATAATGAGGGATGCCATAGTGGAGAGAATGAATTCCCCCAACAAGATTCAAACGGACTTTCTTGATACAGTCATGGAAAGACTTGAAAACTCAGAAGTTTGTGACTCCCGATTTCCTATCCAACTTTATGGTTGGAATTTTATTTGCCAACTATGAGCCCATCACTTCAGTTATACTATTGAGTTTGAAGTTACTCTCAGAGCATCCTTCGATTTTGGAGGAGCTATAAGTACGTTTGCACTCCTAAATTTTAACTAATTGACACGATTGTTGATTGCTTTTTCAATTTTGGTTGATAAATGATTTAGGGCTAGTTTGGCATGTACTAAATAAGCTAAAAAGTCAAAAAGTCACTATCTTATTTAAGTCACATCATCTTATTTAAATCACATCACCTCTCTAACACATCACATCAAACCCAACCCAAACCCACCAATAAGTCAAAAAGTACACTTTTTTAGGACATCCCAAACCAACCTGATATTAATGATTGTTTACTTTTATCAGGCTGAAAATGAAGCAATCATTAGAAATAGGAAGAATTCAGATTCTCCACTTTCATAAGAAGAATATAAATCGATGACTTTTACACTTAATATACGTTTGTACGTTGATCCCAATTTATTTTGTTTTTTGTCTCAAAAGGATTAATTAATTGAAATTTTATTCTTACTTTACTAATGATGTGTATTTCTTATTAATATGTGAAATTGCAGGTTGTGAACGAAGTTCTTAAGTTGGGATATGTAGCTCCAGGGTTGTTAAGAAGAGTAACAAAAGATATCAAATTCAATGGTATGTATTATAAATTCCATCATAATAACATCAATTAGCTTCACATCTTTATTAATGGATATTTGGGTTAACTTTTTGATTTTTTATAGAAAAATATATATTAAAAAATTATAAAAATTGATTTGTAGGAAAAAATTAGGATTAAGAGTTGTGCAGCCGTAATTGTTAACTTTTAGTGAATAGTATTAACTTTTTAACTTTTTGAATAACTTTTTAATTTTTTAATTTTTTCTTATCTTTCCAAACTTCGCCAAAAGATATCAAATTCAATGGTATGTATTATAAATTCCATCATAATAACATCAATTAGCTTCACATCTTTATTAATGGATATTTAGGTTAACTTTTTGATTTTTTATAGAAAAATATATATTAAAAAATTATAAAAATTAGTTTGTAGGAAAAAAATTAAGATTAAGAGTTGTGCAGCCGTAATTGTTAACTTTTAGTGAATAGTATTAACTTTTTAACTTTTTGAGTAACTTTTTGATTTTTTAATTTTTTCTTACCTTTCCAAACTTCGCCTAAATAAACAAATATATAAAAACTCATTATCAATCGACGCATGAGAATGATTCATCATATATATATTGTGATTGTTTATATTTTCAGATAAGAAGAATATCATAAAAGATAATTTATTTTATTTTTTTAGATTCATGAATAATCATGGTCAAACCTCAAAGCCTAATAAATAAATAAATGAATAAAATAAAAAAAATAAAAGTGTACAAGACTAAAGTTTGCATATAATTTATGTTTGGCGTAGGCTATTTAGGTTAAAATAGTCACAAAAAGATAAAATAGGATAAAAAGTCTGACAAAATTTCATATCTAAACTATAATCATTTCATTTTTTCTCTCAAAAAAGTCAAAAAACCTATCACAAACGAGACTTTTTAATCTCATGCTAAAATAGCCAAAAAACAAACAAGTCAAAAAACCAACTCACATCCCAAACGAAAGTTTTGTATGCATGATTTATAATATTCACAAAATAATTAAAAAGAAATTTTTATGTTACACACCCCTTAAAAAGTTTCTCCCATACGGATTAGTTATAAAGCATTGAGATTTTGTGGTATGTTTTTTTACTAGGATTTAAATTTTTGTTTTTTTAGTTGATTCATAAGAGGGTAATTTATATGAAAATTGGGCTGAGCTGGGCCATTATGGGCCTCAGTGCGAAGGGCTGAGTAAAAAGGGTATAAAGTTACTCCGGTCTTGAAGAGGTTTAAAGTTACTCCAGTCTTGAAGAGGTTTAAAGTTACTCCAGTCTTGAATAGGTTTAAAGTTATTCCAGTCCCAAGGAGGTTAGCTCGATTACCATACTAAAACTTATACCGGTTATGGCACAGTATGGTTAGCTCGATCTAAACCTTGCTAAAAGTTAGCTCGGTTTAGACTTACCACGGTTTGTACAAGAGGAACGGAGGTAAGGGCAGTAAAAGGACGAACCGAACTAAGGATAGTTCGGTCTGTTCTACGGCTAAGCATAGCCATGCATACCTCGGCCACATTGGAGTCCGACCATGGTAAAACCATCTCACTTTGTTTAAACAGTGAGGGAAGTGTTGAAGGATAAACATTATCTTTCAGGAGTATGAATCCTAGGAGGACTCTACATGGAGGAGTAAGAGTCCTACTTGGATTGTGCCACACGGAACCTATAAAAGCTCACAAACATCACCTATGGAGAGGTAACACAACTTTGATTCCTGAATACACAAAGCTTTTGTTTACTTGTCTATTTTGCTGACTTAGGCATCGGATAGGTTTCCGGCACACACCCGCCGGCTAGCTCACGTTTATGTTTTCAGGGAAAAAAACGACGTTTGGAGAAGCGCAAACTTGATCAACAGGATTATACGAGAAGATTTATTTCTTTCCCGTACAATTGGCGTCGTCTGTGGGAATTCAGACAAGAACAAAGCCTCTTGATCAAGCTTTTCCTCTTTAGAAGCAATGGCGCACAACGAAGATTTGCCGCAGTCCGCCATCGACGGACAAACACCAGAAGGGGGTACAAGACGCGAAGGCCTACCTTCTATCCCTCCCATGGCAGACTTAGAGCCACAACGACAAAATCCCAGGAGGGATATAAGGGGGAGGAGGCGGACTAACAGCCCCCGTCACTCTCGTTCACAAAGTCCTGACAGACAAAGGCGAATGATTGATCCTCAAGTTCTAGAGGACCGCGTGAAGGAGCAAGATGAATTAATAAGGAAGATGGCGGCGGACATGGAGGTCATGAAGCGCCAGATGAAGGGAAAAGGAGTGGCGGCAGGAGAGGGGTGCAAAAGCAAGGCGCCCCCTCGCCGCTCAGAAGACCGTGGAAGGCATTCCACACCATCACATGCAGAGAGTAGAAGCCTCAGGACAGGCAATACTCAATCCAGAACCTTCAGAACTCGTTTCTCCAAGTCTGAGAGAACGAAATCATTGAGGTCTTACACGGAGGGAAGTACCTATCGACCCTCGCGCTCACACCAGACATCATCCAGGCAGACGAAGTTGCCAAGATCGTCCGATTTGCGAAACATGTTGGAAGAAAAGGCACGATAGAAGGAGGATACTAGGGCGCGCAACCCTCGCAGGGTATCTGCCCTTCAGCGGTTGGCTCCTCGGACGCATAGAAGCGTCAAGGTCGGAATGTCGTTGCCACGCCCTGCCAACGAACCAACGGACAAAGCATTAGCAAGGCTGCAGACCTCACCGTTCGTTCTGGCAATTGAAAACGCGCCCCTTCCTTCAGGTTTCCTTCAACCCAAATTCACCACGTACGAGGGGAAGACGGACCCCTACATACACCTAAGCCACTTTCGCCAGGTTATGACGGTATATCGATGAAACAAGGCTTTGATGTGCATCCTTTTCCCATCAAGCCTTGATGACCTAGGCTTGACTTGGTTCGAAAAACTTCCAGAAGGCAGCATAGCCTCCTGGGCACAATTGGCGGAGGCGTTCGTCACGAGGTTCAGAACGAACACCAAAACCCCAGTGGAAATAGACCAGTTACTCTCCATCGACATGGGCGAAAAGGAGACACTAAGATCCTACAATAGTCGCTAGTGGGAGACATTCAACCAGATTGGGGACTGCCCCACCAATCTTGCCATTGCACAATACAAAAGAGGCCTTTCAGTCGGAAACAGACTAAGGGACTCAATCACCATGACACCACCCCTCACCATGGAGGCCTTGATGAAAAGAATGCATCAGCACATCAGGGTGGAAGAGGACGGCGCTCGTGCCAAAACAAAATCTAGCACAATCGCAGTACCAGATAAAAAGACCGCGACAAAGATCAACACAGTAGAACGTCTGAACAAAAACCGACGAGGCAGGCGATACAACGGTGAGAACCAGGATAAAAGATGGCTGAGAGTCCGCACTGCCATAACCACGGTATTCAAGAAACCGATCTGCCGGATTCTGAGCGAAATACGCGATGAACCTTTGGTCAGATGGCCAGCTAAGCTAGGAGAAGCACAGAAAGACTACGACGAAAGATCGCGATGCACCTTCCACAAAGAAAAGGGGCACCGCACTGAAAATTGTATGCCATTAAGACAGCACCTGGAGGAGTTAGTGGCAGCTGGTCACCTGGATAAATACATTGAAGTAGGGACGCAACCAGCCTCCCAGGACCACAATAACCCCAATGGAATGCCAATTGACGCCCCACCTCAAGGAGTAATCAATGTAATACATGGAGTATTCGAACCTGAGCGTGTATGCGAGCTCAGAGGGTCGATCAAAAAGGCTGAGCACTTAAAGGAGGTACTAAGTGCCCAACCTACCATCAAAAAGGGGAGAACAGAGGCCAAGAACGTCATGTCTTTTTCAGACAAAGACTTGGAAAGAATATATTGCCCTCACAACGATGCACTAGTCGTCACCCTCCGCATCAAGGACTACGACGTCAAACGAATTCTGATAAACCAAGATAGCTCGTGTGAGATAATGTACTACGACACCTTTAAACAACTGAAATTGGAGGACAAAGACCTGGCACCAGCTGTATCCCCCCTGATCGGATTCAACTCAATGCCAGAGTGGCCAGTCAGCAAGATTATCCTTCAGTCAGGGCAGGAAGCGTGACGAAATAAGTGGAATTTTGGGTATTAAAGGTCCCTTCCACTTACAACATAATCTTGGGAAGAACATGGCTCCATGCCATGAAATCAGTAGCATCATCCTACCATCAAGTAATGCGGTTCCCCAACGAAGCCGGAGTAATTGAAGAGGTCTTTGGAGATCAAATTATGTCCAAACAATGCTTCGTCACAGTTAATGGCAGCCGCGCTGCCAATGGATATGTTCATTCGGTAGAAGAACCTAAGAGCAACGAACTATTCGTAGATGTCGGCAAAGCAGCTGATCAAAAAGCGGTAGAAGACTTGGTAGAGGTAAGAATAGATGAAAAGAACCCGGATAAGTTCTTTTTGCTCGGTTCGTCGTTATCCAGCACTGAGAGATTAGAGGTCTTGGAATTCTTGAGCTCTAACATCGAAGTGTTCGCCTGGACACCTTACGACATGTCAGGCATTGATCTAAACTTCATCTGTCACCAACTCAATGTCCACCCATCCGCCAGACCAATCATTCAGCGCACTCGCAAATCGGTACTCCACCACGCCGAAATAGTGGCGGAAGAGGTGGGAAATCTGCTAGAGGCAGAAGCTATTAGAGAGGTACATTACCCCAGATGGATTTCCAACACAGTCGTGGTACCAAAAAAGAATGGCAAA